AATTGGTCTCTTCTGCATTGATTTCCCACTTTCATGTGGTCAAGCTTTTGCTCAGTGTATCCTTTTGGAGGCATCAACCAAGCAGGAACACTGACGGACTGAAGGAAGCCTGGCTAAGAGTTAATCATCTTTATTAAGCAACAGCTGTCAGTGGTTATTTGTATACCTGCAGGTCCTTTGGCTCTGAAAGTTTTGGAAGGCAGTCATGCCAACTTGAGGGAGAAATTACTAAAGTTCACTCAGCATGGCTCTAGGGAGACAGCTGCCTGCAAAAATTGCACATCCCATGTTTCAAGGATTTTCAGTAGCTTCCAGTCCAAGCAATTGCCTCCAAGGTGCAAAGCCAAACTATTTTGGTACCTGGCTAACATCTCTGGGTGTGTCATGGTAGCAGTGTGGCTGCAGCCAGCAGTCTGCAAGAGAAACAGAGAGGGAAGTGTTCAGATCTTGCAGAGTTTCAGCCCTAGAGGCATCACAGGGAGCCGCTAATGCTTGTGAAGTGACTGGGTAAAAGGGTGTGAGCAAGTAGGCTGTGACTACGGAAGAGTTATTAATGGCAACTGTAGGAGTAGTTGGCAGCATTGGTGGCTTCCTTGGCCTCAGGTGTGGCTGGTGTCCTCAGGTATGCAGAGCTCTGGCAAGACTTGTGAAAAGCAATCCATGGACCAAAGCAAACCAGCAATGGCAAATTTGCTTGAGGATAGGCTGATCAACATAAATATGTATGCATAAGCTAATCTTGGCCTATTGCTCTAGCAGCTCCCTACAGTTGTCATTTTTGAAGAGCCGTAGTGAGGAAGAGGGAGCTGGTCGCTCCCACACAGACCCCACTGCAGCTTGAGGTTTCATAACAGAATTAAGCAATTTGTCATGTGTTGCCATGGAGACCATAAATCACTGTCATGCTGGGCTTTTCTGTCAGGGAGCTGATGCCTTTAATTGCTATAACCTCAGCTGTGAATCCAGAGCTTGATTCTGAGCTCTTTACCTGAGATGATGGCTTTGCCCTGGGAGCTCTGCCTCTGGGAGAGTGGAGCTGGAGCCAGGGCAGGAGCGCTCGTACATTAACTGTCACATATCTGGGGCAGGTCTCCCTGTTGTGGCACAGAGCCCCACCTCTGCTCCAATCAGTATGAGTTATAATGGCTTACACAAGCTGCTATCTACCTCATTTATACTCAGGGCAAGTTTCCCCATGGTGATGTGCAGCACATCCGTGGTGTTGTGACCCATTGGTTGCATTAGCTACGCTGAATTTCTCCATTATCAGTTTCGTGTATCTCTCAGCCCCTTCCACTCCACCCATGTCCAGGCAGGTAAATGGGGTTTTACTCCATTCACTCTGCCTCTGTACTTGAAATCCTTCTTGCTGAGGAGTGCTCAACCGCAGTGGCACTGATGGGCCACTGTTTCTCCTTCTCCTTGCTGTCTCTCCTAAAAGTGGCCATGTCTCTGTCTCAGCGTTAGGGGTTTGTGCTGTCAGAACACAGATCTTACCAGCATGTGTGGAGGGGGGCTGCATAAATCTGCCTCCAACCAGTGACTTAACCAGAGCTCTGCCAGAGTCTGTATGCATCGTTCTCTTGGCTGCTTCAAAATAAACAGCTGTATAAATTGTAAGATGATTATCATCACAGCTTATTAGTGTATTACCACATGCTGCTTTGTATTCAGACAATAGATAAAAAATGTCTGTTTTGTTTTTCTCAATCAAATCTACAGCAAATACATTCCTCCTTGCTCCCTTCTGAGAAAGGCTGTGTCAGTACTCCTGCCAAAAACATATGAAAATCAGTCCGACTCTTGTGCACTTGCCCGTGGCAATGTAACCAGCCAGCATGAAGCTCTGCACACCTTTGTCAGTGGTTAATGCTTTCCAGGAGGTGACATATGCTGTTTTCAAGACTTGATTTATTAGATGGTTGAGATTATAATCTCATCAAGGCGCGATCTGTCGTCTTGCTTTGATTGTCAAGGCAGGTGGAGGTGTAGAGATATGGAAGTACTTGGATTTTGGAGGTTTGCATTATGTGCTGGTAGGTTTCAGAGCGCTGCTTTCTCTTCTGAGATGGAAACTTTTTCGTGAACACTTCTGGTGTCTGTGGAAACACGTGACTGTCTGGCTTTGAACCCAGAACACGCATTCATGTCTAGAGTGCACAAGGACACTCCTTAGGAAATGCTCCAGTGATTTGGGCAGTTTGGCTGTCATTGCCTTAGGGGACCTTCAGCAGTGTGCTGAGGATGGCACAACTGGGCAGAATGCTGGGGCCCCACTGCTGCTGGTGAATGCTGACACAGTAGAAACACCCATGCAGAAACGTTCATGTGCTGAATCTTGACACTAGGATAGAAGGTTTTGTCCATTCATGCTGACATCACCTAAATGCAGTTTTTGTACTCAACAAACTTGCTTACAATGCCTGATTGATTTTTTTTTTATTATTATTATTTTTTTTTTAATTAATTTTATTTTCCCAGTTATATTTTGGTTGGTTCTCTGCAGGCTATATGTTGCTCAGTCTGGAACTTAAACATATGGTATAATGAAGTAACTGCAAGTAAACACTGATTTGACCCCTTACATGTTGGACAGTCAGTTTGTACAATGGGCTAAATATTATGTTAGTACTTTGGGAAGTGTTCCGTGCAAGATAAGCTCAAGGCTTCTCAGGAGGGAGTTAAAGGGGCTGGTACTAAATGCTGCTGAGCAGTAGCTTGCGGTTTTGTGAGGAGGTCAAAACTGTGCACAAACCAAGTGTGGTTTTCACATCTGTGTCCTGTCCTCTGCATTGTTAGCAACAATCGGTCTTTCATACGGCACATTGGAGATGCACGGGGTGGCTGACTCCTGGGCACTCCAGTGTAAATAAAGCAAGGGTGAAGCTGCGGCCACAGGCAAAGCAAAAAAATTGTTGTCAAATGTGTTGGGAAGTGATTGAGGACAGCTTTTATACAGTCTTAGTTCTAAGGAGCCTCTAAGGATCTTCTGACTCTAGCATGATAATGCTGAAATAAAGCTTGATCTCGCAAGCCAGCATGAGAGAGATGCTTGAAATTGGTAGGTTCCTGCAAACCAAGCATGCTGCCTGTTGATAGTGTGATCTCGTAAACATGAGAAAAATTGCTTAGTAAAATAGAGGTAAGAAACTTTCCCTCAGGATTGTACTGAGGAGTTGAAATCAGAGTGGGTGAGAACAGAGCTGTGTTTCATCACCTTCTCTCCATATATCTGCTGTTGCTAAAGGTGGTAATGCTGTTTTCAAGTATTTTTCCAGACAGTTTAGACACAAGCTGGCTTGGTGGTGTTTCTCCTTACTCTGAAAACGTTGGCTTGTGTCAACTGTTTGACAAGAAGTCTTGGCAGTTCCCACCAGCCCCAGCGATTTCACCTTTGTGGTAACCCCTTTTCTTTTCAACAGGGCTTTGTTTTTAGAGGAAAATTTAGGATGGTTCCTATACATTTGGCCCCAGAAGAGGTCTATTACATAGCCTTAGTTAGAGGTCAAGGCGCTCAACTTGTACCAACATAGAGCTTATGCGTGTGGCAAGTTATTCTGTATTTTCAGAAGCACCTCTGACACAAGCTGTACTTTATCTTACGTAAAGTAGCGTTGGGCAGAAAGGAGAAGACTCTGTCATTTAAAAAACGAATAAATAAACCTTGTGCTTATGTCTGTTTGCAGGCAAAAATGCATGTATGCAGTATGGTGAATCATTTGCATTATCTTTATGTTGTCTTTGAGCATTGCTATGACTTGAACAGCATTCTCACAGCACACTTTGGGGTCACTTGCTGACACCAAATATTTCAGGGGATACATTTTTTATTACATCTTAGATTCTACAGGCTGCTTTGGCCTGAGAATCTTTTTTCCGTAAGTAAAACAAACTCAAATTTGAATATTCACATCTGATTTTATTTTGCTTCCTTTCATGTGTTTGCCTGAATGCATGGGTGTGTAGTGGGGGGGAGAAGCTGGTTAGCAGAGCTGTGAAAAGCTCTTTGTTGAAGGGTAGGATCTTTGCTATATAATAAGGAACTCAGGACTCCCAAGCACTTTAAGTGAGAACTGCCTTTATGGTTCAGTAATCTGCAATAAACTGAAATAGTGCTTTGGGACAGAACTGGAGAAAGCGAAGACTAAACTTGGAGGGCCATAATCATAAAATGGCTGAGGGAATTTTCAAGACCGTCTAGTTCCAACCCCCTGCCATGATTAGTGTTGCCAGCCAACAAAGCTAGGAAGTGCTCTTAGTTGAGAAAAATCCCTACAGTTACTGAGAACCCCCAACAAGCTCTTGGTAGCTTAATGTGGATACCAGTCAGGATGCTGATAGTTTATGACAGTCTGAGCATTCCCTCCAACGCAGCCTCTTTGCACTCACATGTGCTGCTGCCCAGTTGCACCCAGTGACTTTGTTTTGTCTCTTAAAAAAAATCAATTCTTCTGCTGTCATCTTGGGGGACAGGCCACACACAAGGGGAAGCTCATCTCTTGATTCTCATGGCTGTGTCACAGCCACAAACCCAGCCCTCCGGCCAGGGCTGGTTTTTTTTTTTTTTTTTTTTTTCCAAAAGAGCAAAACAAAAAACACCTGTAGCTCCTGGCTTGCTGCCCTCTGTGTGTGTTTCTTGGTTTTCATTTCTCAGACTTGAGGCTGAGAGAGAGGAAAGCAGTTAAGTGTGTTCTTGTCTGCCAGCAGGATGTGTTTGGTGATGATTAGCTAGCATTATAGACTGGGACCTGTGTAAATGAACTGCAGCTTGGTGCTATCTGCCCATGGAAGTGATGGGCCTGGGATGTGAGGGAGCTGTTGGGAGGGCACACGCTTTTACTGTGGGCCAGAAAGACTGTGAGTGCTAGCATGGAGGGGAGAACCCCTAGTTCCCAGCCGTGTAGCTCTTCTTCACTTCTCAGGCACGTGGTCAGAGTTGCCTCATGCACATTGCTCTCATTTTTCACTAACAAGTAATCAGAGATGGTCTCTTTCTCCAGCAGGTTTAGCACAGTGGAAACATGGCTACCAGCGCTGTTCCCAGCGAAAACCTCCCCACATACAAGCTGGTGGTGGTTGGAGATGGCGGCGTGGGGAAGAGTGCTCTCACCATTCAGTTCTTCCAGAAGATTTTTGTGCCAGACTATGACCCAACCATTGAAGATTCCTACCTGAAGCACACAGAAATAGACGGGCAATGGGCAATTCTTGACGGTGAGCAAGCCACTCTTGTGGTCCCCTTTCTTGCTAAACGTGAGAACAGGTAGACCTCAGTATCTTCCACAGCATGTTGTACTTCTGTGTTCCTCCTGTGCTGCAGTCCGCCAGGGATTTTATTACAAGCTGTCCTGTGAACAGTAGCATGTGGTCTGCAGCTGATCTCCAGAAGAGCTTCTACTTCTGTCTGCATTGGTTCCAGTTCTGCGTAGAGCTGTTTCTTGAAGGAGTGTGAAAACCACTAGATTGTGTTGAGTGGTGGTTTCCAGGCTGCTTCCATCTATCTTGTCAGTCTTCAGAATGACCAAAGGGCACCTATTTCAATCCTTTGCATTTAGCAAGGAGGATTTGTTAGGGTTGTGTGGACAGGCTGTGAGCCACTGTGGTGACCTCCTCTGGTAGAGTTGACCTAAACAGGCTTTAGGGAGCACGCCATGTGCTTCAACAGTGCTGCAGGGAAGAAAATAGCATATAACTTCTAGTTAAATCTATGCTTTCTTCTCATAGGTAATGCTGAGCTGCGTGTTGTTTTGCTGAGAAACTCTAGACTTTCCCATTAGTACAGTGTCTGCTCTGCTGTTCACACGGGTGATTGCTGTAGCTGGCTGTGTTTCAAAAACGGCTACCCCACAGCTCTGCCAACTGTGAACTCCACAGCATGGAGCTTTAGGCTATGTCTGTGCATGGTTATACCATGCTGAAAATGACATTTGGGGTAAGCATCCCTGGTAGATAGCTTATGTCCTGGGAAATACTGGTAAGAGGGCAACTGAATAAGGGCTATAACTAGAACGAGCATTTAATCAGAGCTCATCCACTGACAGGGAAGAATTGTAGTATCTCTCAACTCCCATCTTTCAGGTGTGATGTTCTCATATCTAGTTACCTATATCACTTAAATATGAGTAGCAGTCTAAAGAGCTTCTGTAACCTGGGTTTTTCAGTTCTCTGAAGAAAAATTGTTTTGTTGTTTTTTTTTTTTTTAATTAATTTTTCAATTAAAAAAAACCACAACCACAGAGCAAAAAAACACACCCACCCATTTGATTCTGCAGGTGAGAAAGAAGCTGTGTTTTTACCTAAAACTGTGACCTTTCTGTTTGTGCTGCATAAGACAGATGAGAGCTCTAAGGGCAGTCTTGCTGTCAAAATGCTAAAACTTTTGTTTGGCTTTATATAATAATTAGGTTGTGCGTGAAGTAAGCAAGTATTTTGTGCCTTAGTTACCCAAGTGCACTGAACCAAATCTAAGCTGACGTGCAGCAGGCTTCTACCTCAACAGTCTTACCATGAAAACATTCAAAATGACTGTTGTCTTAACATATGTAAAATTGGTATACGAGGACAGGAAAAACAAGAGATTGGCATCAGTGGTGGAACATGGAGGGTTACACAACTTACCCTGAAGGCCAGAAATTCAGTCTAGTTGAGATCTTAGTTGTACTTTTAAGGGTTTATCAGATGTAATTTTTTGAGTACGGATGGCCCCCATGACCTCCAAGGTGTTAAAGAACAGCCTTAACTCAGTTTTGTTTTTTTTTTTAAATATGCCTTAATCTTGCCAACATTTGCTCATTTACATGTCACAGTTGGTCACTAATGGACATCTACTTCACAAGTATTCCCTTGCAAGTATGTCTCATGATGTTATCTGCATCAGAGATACCTGCTCTCAGTTGGCCATCACATAATGTACTTCTGTAACTGTTTGTTAAATGCTAGTGCTGCTTTAAAAAATAAATAAATAAAAAGATCCTGTTATAAATTAAATCCATTCTCTCACGTATATCTCTTTAGTCCATAATCCAACCCTTTAAAATTAATTACCTTTATTTTTCTCTGGTATGCCTCATATTCTATTCTTTTGGTATCAGCTACTGTACACATTGGTATTGACTGAAGCAGCCTTTCAGGCATCTTTCACTGAACATTTTTATCCAAGAAAAATCTGACCTGAAGTGGGAGTGTGGAAGGAGGTTGTTTTCCAACAAGCATAAGCTTAGCCTTTAGCATCTGCCCAGTAGAAACAGGGCCTGAAGACTGACTATCACATGTGTCTCCTGCCACAGCTCTGTGTCATGGGACTTCGATCTAAGACATTCTCATACACTTGGGCAGCTGCTCTTTTTGTGGTTACACATGGCTGCGTGAATCAATTAGGGTATAAAATTAGGGACAATCGTGATAGAAAGGATACAGATTCATCATGATGAATTCTAGACATTCCAGTTGGCTTTATGGCTAAGTTCTTTATGGGCAGTGGTTTTTTTGTGTGTTTTGTTTTTTTTTTTTTTTTTCCTCAGAGCTTGTTGTGGGGGAGGAAAGGGAGGTAACCAGCAGAGACTTTTGCCTCACCCTGCCCACCTTCAAAATAGGAAACAGAAGATAAGACTGCCTAGTGAGGGCGTAGTGTGAGGGGTACCGTAAGTTTCTAAATTTGTAGAAATAGTTGATTAAAATATAGATATATTGGCATCCAACAACTTGATAAATAAATAAATAAAAAACCATACATGCCGTTCTCTTCCTCTGCCTGTAGCCTGAGCAGTTCTGTACAAAGTGTCCAGCACTTAATATCTGCACTAGCATTATGTTGGTTAAAAACAAAATTAACAAAAAATGCACTAAAAAATTCCCACCTTGTGCTATTTAGCTTCCCTCTGTGAAAACCTACACATTTATTTGATAGCATTATAGCACCAGGTGGCAGCTTGATTAAGTGTTTGACTTGGGTTTTTTTGTTTTCCATTGAAGTCTCTCATTGATAGTAGACTTAAACGGAATGGGCTTTTATTTCAGATTTTAGACCTTAGAGACAAGCCTGAGGTCATACTCATCTTTTACCCATTTCCTCTCTGGCATAGGTGAGTATCTGTCCTTATGCTCTTAAGAGAGAAGAATCTGTGATGATTTCATGCCTCCCAGGACACTGAGCAACCTGTACTTGGTGTATTCAAGTCCAGCTTGGCTGCTGAGTGCAGAAATACTTGATTGGTGGCTTTAACATCAGTTTTCTGGGACCATCGATTCACTCTTTAGAGGACGAGTGCCATAGAGTGGAACAAGGCACTTAACTTGTGTAAGAGATGTACAGGCAGCTTGTGGCTAGCCCTTGTTTTAGATTTCTGCATCTCCAACAAGGCTTTGAGATCAGCCTCCAATTTTCTCTGCATGTGTTATCCTCATTTATTCCTTGCTGTTCATACTGAAATCAGCATGGTGATGTTCTTGGTTAAATGCATCCACATGCAGGTGCTGTGTAGAAGCATCAGGTCAGAATTAAGTGGGGACCAGGGTTAATCTGCTTTGATTAGGTGTTGCTCCAGTTGAGTTGCTGTCATTAATTTGGCATGCTCCCTTCTGTGTGCAGGCTGACTTAGCAGAGGATTCTTTTGATGTGGCTGTGAAGTGTCAATCTGGAATTATTCATCTGGGCATGAAACCAAAAGTGGAGTATCAATACAGGAAAAATTCCCAGTGGTTCCAAATTTCTTGTAGTTCGTAAACCATGTGGAGGTAGAAAGGTGGTGATGAGGAGAGGAAGTGGTGGCCACAGACAGATGGCTTGGGCATGGTGATGAATTGGGCTAAACCCTTAGCTGCTGGTAGAGCTGTGCCAGTTGGTAGCAGCAGAGCAAGGAATTGTGCCTGTGTGTTGGGTAACTGTGGTCTCTTTCTCCTCTTTCCTTCAACCAGAATCTTTAAGATGAAATTCCCACTGACCACAAGTTGTCTTCCTGCTACTTATCTTTAGTTTTCCCTTTTTTCTTTTCTTTTTTTTTTTTTTTTTCCTCCTCTCTCTTTTTACAAGTCCCCATCTCAGTCCCTGTGTGTCCTTGCATTGGGCTGGACCTGCTGTGCATCCCCATAGAATAGCAGCAAGCACTGTTCTTTTCTCTGGGTTCTCTTTCTGTTCTCTCCACCTATGTCACCCATGCATTTCTTTTTGCAGAGGGTTTTTGCTGCTAGTCATCTCTGGACAGGCTGTCTGCTTTTCTCTTTGGGAAGCTTGGGAACAATTCAGCCATGAGGCCAGAGGGAGAGCAGAGGTCACTTTAGACTCGCGGGCGAAATGGTTGCTTTGCAGCTCACTTGTTTTATTTCTTTAAACTTTGGGTAATGTCACTGAAAGAATTAAAATTCAAGTAAAGTTTATGCTTTCATTCTCTCATTTGTGTACACAGTATTTTTCCTCCCTTGATTGCTTGGATTTTGCATACTTGAAGAGGGTTTTTTGTCTTGGGTTGTGGGGATATTTTTTTTCCTGCCAGGAAAATTTTGGTGTTGCAACATGGAAAACACAAGGCTTTTGAATACTTGCCCTTTGTTAGAGAAAGAACTCCTTTAAGGGCTCCCATCTTTATTCTGTATGTTGATGTGGCAGCCTTTCTTCTGAAGACTCTCTTTTTCTCTTTCCTTAAAGAGAGGGCAAGAATTCAAGTACTCGGGTTTTCCACGTTATTTTCCACTTTATAACATCTGTGTATTTAGGGCACAGAAGAAGGGCTTATGAGAACCCCAGTGTTTGCCATCACATGTTTATCCCTGTGGAAGGTTCTCACACTAGGGGCAGTGTGGCTGTATCTCAGCAGACCACTGACAATCGAAGAGATCAAGCAGAGCACTTTGCCTCTCCTTGCCTGTGGCACAAGCACCTTCTATATCTCTGCAGGGTGATTTGGGGTACAGGAATGCAACGTACAAGCTGTGGGGCCCCTCTGCCCTGCCTGCTCAGCTCCCAAAATACCTATTTCTCAGCTAACCAAATGTCCCTGAGGACTGCTCTCTACCAGACTGCTGCTGATGGAAGGGGTAAAGATTGGGCATAACTTTCTTTAGCCTGAAACTGTTAGGTTTGTCTTGTCAGTTCAAGTTAAATTTCCCTTGACCAGAGTTACCAAGCCACAGAGTAGCTGGAAATGGAGATTCTCTGGCCCCACCTTTGGAAGCAGAGCTGCTGTGCAAAGAGAAAATCAAGACTCAGAGAGAAGTGCCAAGAAGAGTCTGGCTCTGTAGCCCATGATGACAGCATTCCCCTGATGGTGCCACATTCCTAGTTCTGCTCTTTGCTCCAGGGACTTTTTCTGTATTTTGCATTAAGTTGTTGAGGAGGCAGAAAATGCCTGGAGTCAGACTTCTTGCTGCTGCTCCTTTCCCTGGCTCTGTCTGCTTGCAGACCCATCCGGCCCCTTAAAGGTTTGCACGTAGGCTTTGTGTACGTAGTTGAAGGGACTGCTTGCAAAAATCAGATCATGCACACTGTACTTGCCTTTCTGAGCAGGAAATCAGTGTGGGCATGAAGAACTGTCCTTCCCTGAGCTGTGTGGTGCACAACCACCTTTCTAGAATACAAGGTGTTCTGAGAGCTGCTTTTGGGTCTGGCCACAGCTATGTGTGGATGCCACTAGTATGTTACTTTTTTTTTCAATGGAAGATAGGAAAAAGATTTAATGTGCTTTAAGGGCCTGTCTTGTCTCCTTTGGCCCCTTTGGTGAGGCAGTGGAGGAACTCTCATGTTGGTCTGTATACCTAATTGCCCAATGTGCAGATAAAGACACAGGAGGGAGTGTTGCCTTGGTGTGGATGAAGAGGAACTCTCCTGCATAACCAGATCTGAGCTGCCTCAAGGCTGGGAATGCCATTATTTAATCTGAGCTAAATCCAGTGGAGGCTTTGGGAAAAGTAATGTCATTGGCTTGAATTTCATAGTTGGTATGTCTCTGTCCTTGGCTTAGATTTACATGTCTGTGTCTCTGGATGGGCGCTCAGAGCACTCTCAGTTATAGAGATTTGCCACACAGAAAACATCTATAGTGCTTCTATATACATCTGAGTGCTTCTATTTTGGGCTTTCTAGGTTCCTATGTCTACTCAGATGTGCTTTCTCTGAGCAGCCATGCTCTTATCCAACCCATCACAACTCACAGGGAAATGGTGTGTAAAGCTCTAAGGATTAACATAGAGTTAATTACAGGCGGAAAGCAGAAAAGGCTATCTCTTTGCTTAGCAACCTTTCACTCACAGAGCAAGAAATGTCATGCTAGGCTCTGAAGGCTAATTGCTCTTAGTTTATTCTCTAGCTGATTTGCATTAAAGCTCTGTAATAAGACTTTCGCATTGCCTACTTCGATGTCTCTTCCTAATTCAGACAGTTGTTGGCTTCTCACTGCTCACCCATAGGTTTTCATTAGAGTTTCTCCTTCCTTCCTTCCTCTTCAGTGAAGTTTGTGGAAACTAAACCACACATGCTGTCGGAAGGCCCTCTCTGTACTGCACAGTCCATGAATTTGATTTCAGTTCTTGGAAGAACGAGGCAGGAGAAACCCGCTGTGCCTTCCTCCAGCCTTATTTCCACTTTGGCTTTTATGTGTTGCCAGGGTGGCAACCAGCAGTCAGAGTACCAAGTGCTGATTTTAAAGAGCACCAAGGGAATAGAAGCTCACAATTCTTTTCTACTTATGATTATTTCTAAGTCTCCTGACATCCTGTTTGCAAAAACTAGGATTTTAAGAGGAAGCATGCTAGCTGAAGTCCTAAATCTCCTCACCCTGTTGGGAAGCCAGCCAGATCACCTTCCATGTTTCACCTTCCCAAGATTTCTGCTTGCTGCTTTCCCATTTCAGTATATTACTGTCCTTAAGGTTTTATGCCAGAGCATTACGCTAGAATCAAAGCTGCTTGCCTCTAGCCCTCTTTTGGAGCTGATGCTTTCCAGGATGTGACTGAGTTCTCTCTACAAAAGGATCCCAATTGTACTCTCCGCTCTGATTTCTGTGGTACACAAATTGTGAAAACCATTAGGATATAGAGGGCTGTCTTTAAGAAGAGCGCATCTAAAGCTGAAGCAGGGACGACTTCTGGCCAAATCTATGACCCTTAAATTTGTGTGAATAGGAAATTAACTTTTACTGCTGCGTGTTTTCCTGCCTAAATTTCCAAAGTGCCATTTTCAGTGCTGTCTGGACTTGTTCTCCTTTCCAAGAGTGCTGCAAATGAATTCCTTGTAAATAGTGGCTGCTGACACAGCAGCCCTGTTTGTGTTTAGTGTTAGGAAGGGGGGAATGGCAGGAGAGCCCAGCCCACTGCTACAAGCTGTCCCACTCCTCCACACATTGGGTGTGTGCGTGTGTGTGTGTAAGAAGGGAAGGGAGTGTATGTAGGGCTGGCAGTCAGCTCCCATCGCTTCCAGCTGGTTCAAGAGTCAGATGAGGGCAGCCCAACCTCTCCTTACAGGTTGGGTGGATAGGAAGGATTGATTTCCTCTTCCATTCCAGCCGCATAGTCTTGGCCTTCTTCCATAGTAGCTCTTCTGCTCGGGGTGTAGAAATTCACCAGTGCATGCAGTGTCTTTGGGTTGTTTTTCTTTTCTTCCTTTTATCTTCTTTTCTTCTTCCTTCCTGTTCTCTTTTTTTCTACAGTCCTTAGAAACAGCCTGGATGCCTTTGAGCTGAGACCCTTATTTCCTAGACTTAAGGGAGGGAAGTGGGATAAAAAGCTATGAAAGGATACTTGTGACTGAGTAGTAAGTTCTCGCTACTCAGCAAATAAGCCCCAATCTTGGGCTCTTTGTAAGAGCCTAGAAGCTCTTTTTATCCTTCAGGTTTTCAAAGTGAGGGGAGGCAAATGAATACAATTGAGGAGTTTTAAGGGGTCTGCCATTGCCAAGTACCTCCTCCAGCACAGCTGCCTTTCCTCTAGACGCAGAGTACTGTGGTGTGCTGTGTAGCATGTTGAGCATGTCCCCACATGGCCACCCTTGCTGATTCAGCATGTAATGCTGGCAGTGAAGTGGGCTTTATCCAAGCCTCATCTGGAATTGAGGGCAGCTGGAGTACTTACCCTGCAGGGAGTGTCTTCCTAGGACTGTGGGCCTGCTTGGACTAGAAAAACTCGCATCAAGCCCTGCTGCTCTGTCAGCAGTACATACCTGACACTGTCTCCATCTACAAGTGCCCAGGGCTTTCCTTGTCACTCGTGGGCAGTAGATGCTAACTCTGCAGCTGTACAGGTGAAAACAGTTTTCCTGCTCTGTACCATCTTGCTCTGAAAGCACATAATTGTGTAGAAATAATATCCAGGCAGTGAGAAAGGGAAAATGCATGCAGCTGTCACTCCAGGTTATCTCCCAGCTCTGCTTCACCACAGTCTCTGGGTTGTCCCTGACATTTAAATTGTCATTTATTTGCTCTTTGCTTTTCCATGCAAGGATCAGTGAGAGTAGGAAGAGGAAGAGGGTTAGAGGGCTGGGCTGCAGGACACTTAGAGCCATATCTTGCCAGAGAAGTAGTTCCCAGGTTCCGTGGGTAGGATTTGATACTTTGAATGAAACTAATATCCATATAGCCCTCTTCTATAGCACTTTCTTCCTCCAACTTGCTTTTACAGAATCTTGCAGCCTTCGGGAGGACATGTCCAGCAAGAGGCAGAAGGGCCATGCAGCACAGCAGCTGCTGTTTCACTCAGTAACTAAACACCTTTCTCTTTTGTCCTAGTTCTGGACACAGCAGGCCAGGAGGAGTTCAGCGCGATGCGGGAGCAGTACATGAGGACTGGAGATGGTTTCCTTATAGTCTACTCTGTGACAGACAAGGCCAGCTTTGAGCATGTGGACCGTTTCCACCAGCTGATTCTCAGAGTCAAAGACAGGTGGGTGCTGCACCACTGGCGCTCTCCAGCCCTGCTGTGGAGAGGCTTCAGTCCCTGAAGTCCACCTCCTGCTTGTTTCAGGGCAGCTTCTTGTGTGCTCTTTGTAGGTTTGTAGGTCTGCATGTGGGATAAGATATATCCTTTATGATAACTTTCTTATTTGCATTTCGCGTTTGGAAAAGTTTGATGGATGGAATCCTATAGTGAAGTGAAATGGTTTTGGAAGAGAAAAGCTCCAGCCAGAGTGCCTGGTCATACCAAACAAACCTTAAAAGGTTCTACATGATATGGGCCTGGGAACAAATATCTTGGAGGGGAAAATGCCTCAGATTGGGAGGAATTGTGTTTCTCAAAAGGGGATAAATTCAGTTAATGCGTTGTGCTATGTAGCAGCTGTTTTCAATGAATGAAACATCTCAGCAGGGTGGGGGGAAAGCAAGACTGGTCGGCTGCTCCACTCCCTGTGTACATGTGGGAGAAATTAGCACTGGGGGATTACTATGGTGAGCAAACCCATCCTGACAGACCTAAAGGAAGCTACCAGGTTCTTGTCTTTCAGATAACTCCCTCTTCCCTTCCCAGTTCAAGGGATGGTGAGTCCTTCCACACTAGGTGGAGTGTGAATTAAGCCTTATTTGTCTACAGCTTTTAAACATTTAGTTGTTCCGTTCATAATAGCTGTTAATTATGGAAGTCGTCAAGAAAAGCCACCGGAGGGTTCGGACCTTGTTGCTGGCTTCCTTTCACAGCTCTGAATAACTTCCCCACAGGAAGGGTGGATGCGTATCATGTGAGGTTCACAGCTGACAGCTCTTCCAGTAAAGCGTCCACAACAGAGCCCGTGAGAGTAGAAAGTAGAGGAAAATCCACCCTTTGATTTCATCTAAATGAACAAAAACGTCAGTCACTCAGTCTGCCTCCCAGATAATGATGGTGTTTCCTTCACTGTTGGCTTAGGGCAAGTTCACCCTGCTTCTGAAAGATGAGGAAGACAGCAAAGTGTTTCCTGTAACCTGCTGCAAGCAGATGTTGGTTTTGTCTAACTTAGCTTTGTGAAAATAGGATGCAGTGTTCGTTGTTTTGCTTTGGACTGAAACTTCTAGCCCTCCTTATGCCATACAAACAAGCAGCAGCATGTGAGATCCAGGAAGTGAAACAGCCTCGTGAAACTGCTTGTGTTTCCCCACGCTGGAGTATATAATGCCAGGAGTGTAATGCTTCATGCAGAGATTGTGCAGTGATTTTTCTGAACAGCATAAATAAAAAAAACGTCCTGCCAGGCGTGTGCCCAGGTTTTCAAGCTAGCAGTCAGTTTTGAGGACTCCAGATCTAAAGCAATTGCAGGCTACTGCTTAAAACCTCTGTCCCTTTTCTCTCCATAATCTTAATTACAGTAAAGCTTCCAACTGTAGCAGCTTGTCCAAATAGCAGTCACACAACTCACAGCAAAGTCCCCACAGAGTTTTATGCCCAGTGTAAACAAGGCAAATGAGATGCTGTCCAAATGTAATCCTTCTCTTACCAGTATGTCACAAGCCAAAAGGAATCAAATAATCCAAGCAAGTGTTTTGCTCCAGAATAGAGAGTCAAGATGTATCAATGCTCAGGTGTAAATGTTAAATCAAATGCACATTATCAGAATCAGTAACTGTAAGATCCATTTAAAATGCAGAGTACAGTACAGTGCATTTCCAGCCAGAGAAATGGGCAACATGCCAGGGAGAAGATGGAGCCCTTATCATCTCAATGAAAAATGACACAGAAACTCTGTTTGAAAATCCAGGGAAATCTTTTATACAGCAGTGAGTGCAGCCAGCTGCTCCTTACTCTAATAAAATCAGCTCCGTTACAGCAGAGAACACTGCTGTGTGAGAATCATTTTAGGAGGGCTTAAAGCTAACAATAAGAGAATAATTAACAATAACATCAGTTATTGGCAGTTACCTCTTCCTTCATAACAGCGGGTAAAGGCCATGCAGCACAGCTTTGCTGTACGTAATGCAGCTGGAGGAGAGGCTCTTGTATGGGAGGTGCAGCAGGAAGGAGCCATGCTGCCAGCACATCCCGTAGCACGATCTGGCTCAGTGTAATCCCTGGAGCTGCACAGACCTTTGCCATCATCCACATGCCTTGTCAGGAAAGCCTGTACAACTCTTCACTTGTAGTGTCTGAAGACAATCACTTATATTCCTGGTAAAGAAATACTGAGTAGTAATACCAAGCAAGATGGTTTTGGTACAGAAGAACTGTTGTTCATCATGCTTTTGCTCTATGATAAGAAGCAGAAGATAGCAGATAATAGCATCTGGAAATGTAGCAAGACTGGGTTCTTGTTCCCAGAACAGCCTCCTCCCAGCTACCACTGCTGGTCTTGGGCTAATTACAGTCATTGTCCCATCATTTTCTTCCCAATTTGATGTCACCCTAAGTGTGAACTCCAAGTCTGTCTTTTCTTCCCCTATGGGTGTTTAGAGTGGATAAGCATTGCGCTGTTCTCCACAGGACATGAACTGACAGCAATTCCTCTGACCTTTTTTGTTTTTACCTTGCAGTGATGAGCAGCTGTAAGGTATGCTGCTATTCAGATGCCTTAACTGTTATAAAAGAGTCCTGTTTCTTTGTTCAAGATTTGCTTCCATGCCTAATTTCCTTCTATAGTGGCAAACAAACTCTGTAGTTCACTCCATTACTCAGCATTATGCTGGCATTTAATAAGCTCCTGAAATCCCTGTGAAATAAGGGTGGATGTGTGCATGTTGTCAAGGTAAATTTTTATGAACGTGCATAGTAGTTCAGTCTGGGGGCTGATATATGTTTGTATGATCTATCCTTATATTTCCTTATAATTACATGGTACATCTGTAGCTGAAAATGCTTGATGTCAGTATTAGAAAGTGAAACTTAGACTTAGTGTTTTGTATTGTAGCTTCCTAATAACTGTTTCATTTTCTTTTTTCCAGGGAGTCCTTTCCAATGATTTTGGTGGCAAACAAAGTTGATCTAATGCATTTACGGAAAATTACAAGAGAACAGGGAAGAGAAATGGCAACAAAACATAATGTAAGTCTGTAAAATTGTTTAATTGCTTGCTTTAAGTACCACTACAGGCATTCAGAATTGAATTACCTCCTTATGTGGAGCTGAATTAAAGTATTTTTCTTAGAATTTGTGGCTGTCACAAAGTCGTGTACAAACCTGTATGCAAACAGTGAGAAATGTGAATGTTCAAAATGAGGAAAGAAAGCACAACCTCTGGGACTGAAAAAGCAGAGTCAGAAGTTAGGAAGTATATCCAGGTGCCCGCATGAAATAAACTTGTTAAAGATAATGTAGTTAAAGGGTTGTGAAGTTTATATAAATCTGGCCCACCATTCTAGCTCTGCATTTTTCACACTTGTTTAGCCTGAGAAGTTGCTCTTGGATTGGTGTAGATCACACGATAATTCGCTAATCACCTCTAAATTCCAGAAATCTTGAATACCCAGAGGGAGGTAACATCTCCCGTAGGAGATGCTTAATGAACAGGTAAAGGTAAGAGCAAACAAGCCTGAGACCTTTTGGCAGCTTGCTGTGCTTGGATGGCAAACTGCTCTGTGTTTCTAAACAAGGCACAATGAGAGTTTGGCAGGGCAGATTCATTCCCTCCCCAAGTAAACTCACTGCTGTAAGAGCCAGTACACTGAAACTACAGCTCAACACGTTGCACCCATCAGTATGTACACACTTTGGAAAAGGATGTGCATGTGAATGCTTCATAAGAGGGCAATTTTATCAATCTGCCAGCATGCTGGACAAACGCTCTAGGAGGCTCCATCTGTTTGTTAGACTTTGAAGAAGAAGATCATTTTACACCAAATGGGAATTTTAGTCATGAAATATTCATGCCGCTATCCTAATAAGATGTGGCAAACAAGAATTTTTGGCAAGTGCTCATCTTTCAATCACCATCAGCAATTGCTGTGTCTACAAACACAACCTAGGAAGAGAGAACATCTGGCTACATGGAGTCTTGTGATCACTCTTCCCTAGATCCAAGCTTTCTTTAAGAATAAAGATGTTGACAGCAGTGTCATGACAACATTTTGTTTACTGGTACTTCTCTGGTATCTTAGATACCCCGTTTTTCCATCCTGGAGAGTGTTTTTCATTTTGAAAGTGGTTTGTTTCCAACGTACAAGCTGATAGTTACCTCTTCTGTGGTACACTTCTCTCCTTCAGATTCCGTATATAGAAACTAGTGCCAAGGACCCACCTCTAAATGTTGACAAGGCCTTCCATGATCTCGTAAGGGTAATAAGGTAAACTGTAACACTTGTCGCAGTTGGTGCCTGTGGATGGAACATGCAGGAGTCCTGGGTTGGAGAGCGGGGAGGCAACGTTTGGGAGGTGGGGGTGAGATGGGCTGGTTGGGAGTAGTTGATTTCTGGGTTTTAGTAATCTTCCTTGTTCTGTATGTGCACATGACTGTTAACTAACAGGATGTTGCCTTTGTGAGATACCAGTGCTAGACAGTTTGAGAACTAGTTGTGACCATGACCAAAAAAAAGTTAGTCACTGAAGAAAGCAAAGCTTACTACAACAATTCGCTTTAAAAGGCCAATATTAAAAGCTGTGAGCCAGTAATGTGTTTTTTTATGGCTTTCTCATCTCAAGGTCTCATGTTGCCCTGAGTTTAAAGAGCTGCCTATTTTTTTTAATTTCATAGGTGAGTTTTACCATTTTCTGCTCACTAAATGGAAAAAATTAAGCCTTTTTGTATGAAAAGCAGCATGATCTAATGGCTAAGCCACAGGTTTCCTCCTCAGACAGCAGAGGTTTGTTCCCAGTTCTGGCATGAGCTGCTTTTGTTCATTTTGGCAAATGCCTGCTCTCCGGGTGAACCCAGCTCCCATTGCTGTTGGCAAGGTACAGCTGTCCAAAATTCTGGCTGCCTCGCAGGAAAAGAGCTGCATGCACATCTCAGCATCTCGTTGATAACCTCAAATCTCTCAGAAGATTTGTTTTTCTGGCAGGGGTTGCCTGCCAGGTTTTTCTGGACCTTCATTTTTCATGTGTTGGGAGGGTGCTGAGCTGAAATAATGCTCCTCCCCACCATGCAGTCAAAGTGCCTTGCTTGGCAATTAAACCATGAGACATTTATTCACAACGTATCTGTACTTGTGAATATCTTAGCACAGCCTCGAGCCAGCCTCTATCAAAAGCAGATGGTACTGCCCACTCTTCCCACATATCTGAAAAGCAGGGGGCAGAAAATCTTTGGAGAACTGCAGAGCAGAGTTGGAAATGTCCCAAGCTGTTTCCCAACTGTTCTGGAACTCAGCATTAGTTGGCTAGATATTACTTTTTGTTACAGCAAGCTCTTACCACAATCTATTCTACTCTAGGGGAAAAAAAAAATGAAACATAACAAAAATAAGATGGTGAGGCTCTGTTTGCTTTCTCTGCATAACGTGACTCCAGACACAGTCTGGATGGAGCACTGTAATGATACAGCACTAACTTTGAGCCCTGAAAATGTACTTCATAACCTAAAGTATAGATGATCTACCTCATTCCCCAAAGTAGTTACAGTGAGGGTTATTGCTACCCATATGAAATTTTCTGTGGCATCAAGGACACCATGTGATTTGTCCCCCAGCTTTGTCTCATTCTGGTCCTGATAACTTGGTTCAAATGCTCAGCTTAATGCCTAGCACGTTGCATAGCAAAGAGGCTGATCTTAAACTATTCAAGCTCCAGGTTGGTTATTTAGGCTCTGAGTCAATGGAAACTGCCTATGTCTGTGTAGTTTATCTTGCAGTAAAACTTAAGTCCACAGACTGCCTGTCAGGTTTTTGAAATACACAGCCTGCTGTTGAATTGCAGTGCTGGACTGAGCTGAGTGGCTGATGTGATCAGGTACAGCTCCCCTAAAGTTTTTGATGCTATTGCAGCTTGGCAAGACTGAGTATTATATTTGATGGCACAGGACTGTCAGTGTAGCTGTTGAGGATCTGACGCAGCATTTCACCATCATTTCTGTTTAAACAGTATGACTGAGCAGTGCCTCATCTTTTAATGAGAAGGGAGAAGGCACCAGCATAACAGCAGATGAGATGAGGTTGCTCACAGCCCACCTGACTGATGAGGGCTTCTGCAGCATGGCACAGGTGGGCTGGCAGCTGTGTTTTTGATGGCTGTGGCTCCAGCCAGAATCTTCCTGGGGCAAGCCACAGAGAAGGGCACAGGGCGCATCCCGCTCCCAGTGCACTGGAGCTCATCACAAGTTCCGTGGGAGGCCAGAACCATGCTGGCAGCAGATGCCATTTCTTTTTATGGAAAAACAAAACGCAAAACCATGTCCACATCAGTGGCTAGGAGACAGTGCCAGCTGAAACCAAATCCTTCCGGGACAGGCATCCTGTATCACAGAATTGTAGAATGAATCATGGAACCATAGAATGCTATGAGTTGGAAGGGACATTAAAGAGCACCTAATGCCAACCCAGCTGCCATTCACTAGATCAGGCTGCCCAGGCCCCCATCCAGCCTGGTCTTCAATACCTCCAGGGATGGGTCATCCACAGCTTCTCTGGGTGATGGTTGATGTTGCATTTCTTGGAGCGTCCCTGTTTCCCAAGTGAGTTGAGTAGCCCTCTGGTAGAGAAGCAGGTAGCAGTTCTCCCAAGGCACTTGGAGGCACTGTGCCTTCTCCCTACTCTTAGCCTTGATGTTTCTATATGGCTGCTTTCCTCTTTCCTTGAAAACAGAAGCAATGATTGTTAGCTGTGTGGTGTGATAGTCCACGTGTTGGTGGAAGGGGTGTATGGGAGTATATGTGTTTATGCCCCAGTCAGGTGTCTGACCCAGCCTTGTGGCTGCTGGCCTCACCTTATTCCCCTTCCTTCCTCCCTCCCTCCCTCCCTCCCAAAACAGGCAACAGATCCCGGAGAAAAGCCAGAAGAAGAAGAAAAAGACCAAATGGAGAGGGGATCGAGCCACAGGCTCCCACAAACTCCAGTGTACAATTTTGTGACGGGGCACCCAGGAGCACCTTGGACATCTCCCTCCTGCTCCCAACCCACCAAGACCTGAGGCTCCCAGAGGCTCTGGCTCGGAGGAGGTGGCTCGAGGGGTCTGGACCCCAGCAGTCAGCTGGAGGGGCTCCTCGTGGGGCTGCATGGAGCAGTGCTAGCAGGAGGTGGAAAGGAGCAGCAGGACTTTGATGCTCGGACGTTCCCAGCTCCTTCCAGAGGCCTCCATGGTGTGTTTAAAAGAAAAAACAAAAGTGTTGGTTTTATCTGCAAACATTTCTCCTTGTGACCCTTTTATGAGCAGCCATGAATAGACCCATTTGGTACAGTCGTGTGTGTATGTGTGGGAGAAGGGAAAGGGCTTTTTTTTTTGTCGTTTGCTCAGCAAGTGTTGGGTTGCAAAGAAACATGGCTGGGGTTAGACTTTTTGCACTGAACTCTTTCTTACGCAGCAGTGCCAAAACACAACTTCATATGAAAGTGCATAGATTTGAAGGAAGAAAATGAATTCCAGCTGCTCTGGGTGCTCCAGACATTGTGTCAGACTCTGGAGGGCAGCCAGCTCACAGACCATAAACTCCAGCTTAGAAAACGGGGTTTGGGCTTGGATATATTTTTTTCCTACCCTTTGTCAAGAGGTTTTATTTCTGTTTTGTAACTTGGAGCATGTCAAAGTTAAGATGTTTTGTTAACCTGGAAGTATTTAAATTAAAGTAATTTACAAATGCAAGGGTATGGCATCTTTAAGGGGTTGAGGGGAAGGAGAGAGGAAGTAAAAAGTGAACTGAGTTTGTTATCTGAGTGTTGAATTTCTGCCTTATAAATGCGTTTAAAGTGGTGTGATCTAAATCCTTCTTTATTATTCCTTAACCTTTCCCTGCAATCCACTCTGGGGTAGATGAATTGTTTTGCTTTTCCCAGGCTCATCTTGCACTCAGACGAAAAAAATCTGTTTATGGGGCTTTGGCTTAATATTTCTTCTTCTCTTCCCCGAGAGTTGATGACTGGAAAGGAAGAGGTGTTTTAAATGTGGTTCAAGTGGGATGTGTCTCTTCATAAGCTTAGTGTGTCTAAAATGTTTCACTGAAAACAGCAGAGACTAAATATTTTTGCCTTATGAAAAGGCAAGGCAAAAAAACCGCACCCGTTCAGGCTGCCAGAAAGATGATTGTGCACATCCTGGAGGAGCCACGTTTTTCTTTCACACCTTTACTGGCAGTCAGGATTGTAGTAGTGATTTTTTTTTTTCTTCAATTTAATGGATTGTCATCTGCTGGACCGAAGCCATCAGCTCAATTCGTGGGGTCACTAACCTCCTTTGAAAGTAACAACTTGCTTTTCATCAGGTTGAATCCTATTCAAATATGCTTTATTGGCATGTCTTAAAATATTGGCAGAGCATGAATGCCTGAGAGATGTGTGTCTGAGAACAGCAGATCGTGGCACTGGATATTGAAGACTCATAGAAGGTGGTGGATCATCACAAACTTAATTGTTTGGTATTTGTCTTTATAATCTGCTGTTGGATTTCATTTCTTGAGTCTTTGCCAGGCCACCTTGTGGGAGCTGGCTGCTGGTTGTGTTTCAGGTGAGTTGCAGCTAATGAAAACATCTTCCTCGTTTGTCCAGTCTTTGTTACAGCCAAAAGGCAGCAATTGTCTCAGCAAGCTGCTTAGCATAATTCCAGCTCAGCTGCCTCCATCCTCTTCTGTGCAATGACAGATGCTGGGGATAGATTGAGGACGGGGACAGTGGAAAGAAAGATTTCTCTTGGACCCTCATTTTGGACAGAGGTCTTATGCTTCAGTAAAGCTGCAACATCCAGTGTCAGCTGAGAGCTGGCTGCAGCCCATCCAGCACTTCTCCCTCCCTGGTTTTCTCCTTGGCTGAAGCACAGTGACTGAAGCATCCGGGTCAAACCCTGGCCCTTGGGACCTGCCAAAGTCTTCTGGGGGTGGATCTCCCTGCAGGCATCACGTTCACATTCTGCCTTTGAGAGGCGTCAGATGCTTTACAACCAAGGCAACTTGACATTGGCCCCATTGTTGCTTTACTGTCGGAGTCCCTGTCTAGTCTGAGTACAGGCTTAGTTTGTTTAATTACAAACAATTGACCTGTGAGATCCCCCATGCAAGCAGTTGATGGCATTTTCAGGGAGCCCTGCTAATACCCCCTAGAGCCCTTCCACTTAAAAATAACCTGATTTCTGCTGAAACTCCTCATCCTTATAATTTTGTCTAGACCCTTGGGAACGCTTGCCTGAAAACAGCATGTGAGCATCTTGAGTCACATCTGTGGGGTACTCAGCTCTGCATGTGGGAAATTGTCTGCTTTTTCTGAAGCATCTTAATTGTTCCTTCAGCTTCTTTACCAACTAACAGCTACTGCAGAGTAGATAGGGAGGAGGGGAAAGGAGCAAATTAACAACCAAATAGGTGTAATGATAAGGCTCAGGGGGAGCATGCTCTGATTTATCCACCTTGATCAAATTGTTAGAGCACTGAAGGGATACAAAGCCTATTGCCATGTACGTCACTCTTTTGCATTCTTGGCTGTTCTAGTCCAAGAGTACCCTTCCCCCATCTGCAGCACATGGAACCTGATCGGTCTGATGGTTCAAGAGAGCAGTGTCTCAGCCAAGGCAAAGCTGTTGAGCGAGAGTGTGCTACATCTGAATAAACTGTGTTCAGATGATGGTGCTCAGCAGGAGAACAGCAGAGATAGGGAACAAGATGACAGCAAGAGCTTAGTGGGAGGCTGGGATTGCTTGGTTTGGATCAGATTCTTGCATTAAACAAGAGGCCATTGCACTGCATTGCTGTTCCTTAATCTGCCATAATTAATTTTGGCTGATTCTTAAAACCTACAGCTGTACTAGAATTTGTAAACTGGGCTCGGCTGAAGGTTTTAGGCATGCATTGTGCATCTGGGCTCAAGAGGAAATGAGCAGACAGCACTGGTAGGCATGGAGAGGACAGCACTGAAGTACTGGCATGGACTTTTTTGTGTTTGTTTTTTTTTTTTTCTTTAATTATTATTACCACAATGCAGCCAGAACTGAGACTGTCCAGAGCCTTGCTCAGCTGCACTGATTTTTGAGGGATGGTTGCTAAATGCTGCTGCAGTGTTTGGGAACTTCAGACAGTTGCCACAGAGCTTCAAGAGTGGAGTATGGGATATAGGAGTTTAAGAGGCACATGTGGTGGGCTATGCTGAATGTTCAGCTATGTATGGGCTAGAGAGGGGGCTAAAGAGGACAGAAGCTATCCAAACCAAAGTAACAACCATCACATCAATGGATATACGTCAGATTGGACAGAAGAGATCTGTCTGGAAGCACACATTCTTTTAGTTGGGGTTCAATGGCCAAGCTACTCTATCGACTACAGGTTAGCTGACAGGCAGAGCTTTAGTGCATGTGGAAAGTGCTGCAGCACATCTACATATCCAGCTCTGCAGCAGAACTGAGGCGAAGGACACAGCTGCTTGAAGAGCGCTGCAGGACTGGGATGTAGCTCCCTGTGTGGGGATGGGAGCTCTGCTGGGGCCAGCGGTCAGGTAGGCTCCATTCTGTGTCTTGTGTGTATTTCACATCACTGGAGATGCCACGGGACATCCAAGGCATCTGCTGGGACTTTCAGATGGAACAGAGAGGTCTATACCATTCTGGAACAGCAGCCAGGTAAGACTGATGAGCAATGGCTCTATGGGTGTATCTTCAGGCAGCTGTGTGCACTGAGAAAAGTCTGTGGGTGCTCTAGCTCCTCTTCTGCAAAGTCATCTCACCTGATTTATATGGACTCACCAGTGTATCAGAGCAAATTCTGAAACAGAAGTCATCAATTTCATGACCTGTATTAACTGCATCTTGCAGCCCAAGCAAGTGTGGATGTCACTTGCACTTGTGAATAATTCAGTGTTTGGCTATCAGGGATTCCACTGATACTATGCAGGCTTTTTTCTTCTTCATGTGAGGGCAGTAAATATTTTATGGATGATCCCACAAGCATGCTTTTGCATTGCTGGGATGACATGGGACTTGCCTGCAGCAGTGTGGTGCAACAGCTTTGGATCCCCAGAGGGGAGAGCCAATGCTGTGGCACAGCAGCGTGCTCTGGGCTGGCTTTTGTTCCCACTGCTGTGACAAATGAGGAACAGCTGAGGGAACTGGGATTATTCAGTCTGGAGAAGAGGAGGCTCAGGGGAGACCTTATGGCTCTCTACAACTGCCTAAAGGAGGTTGTGGTGAGGGGGAGGTCAGCCTCTTTCTCACAGATAACAGTGATAGGATGAGAGGGAATGGCCTCGAAAGGTTCAGGTTGGATATTAGCCAAAAATGGGCAAAATTTCTCTCAGAAAGTGGTAGTGCACTGTCCAGGGAGCTGGTGGGGTCACCGTCCCTGGAGGTGTTGAGAACCATGAGGATGAACCCCACTGAGGGTCATGGTTAGCGGTCATGGTGGGGCTGAGATGATGGTTGGACTGGATGATGTTAGAGGCCTTTTCCAACCTCAATGATTCTGTGATTTTATGAAATTCCTGCTGCTCCCCGCAGCTCCGCAGAACTCGCCCACGGGTGGCTGTGGGGTTGGGCAAGAGAAATGCACGGGTACTGCCGGGGAGAGGCAGGAGGAAAACTCACCATCGGCGTGCCAGGAGCACAGCACGCCTCTTTGCATCTCAATAGCCCACGCCTCCTTAGAGCTAGAGCTTTGGCACCGGGAAGCTGCTGGGCAGCCCAGGCACATGCTGGTATGGCAGGGCATTCTTCTCTGCGAGCTCCTTAATGAGCTGTGTTTCAAACAGCATTCCCCAGGATGCGAACTGACGAAAAGCAGGAAATTCAAAGTGAAGGCTGATGCGCCCGCTCTGCTCGCACCATTGTGGCGGCCGAACAAAGCACAATGGTGTGAGCTGGGACGGGCGCTGGCCGGCCCTCCCAGGGAGCTTCCTGCCATTCCCTCATCCTGCTTCCCTAAGCTTCCCGAGAGCCCAAGCCGTGTTCAGGCACTGAGTTTCCCACAGAGCCGCTCACAGAGTTTTGTTCCCACGTTCTTAGGCAGCGCGGTGAGGGCTGCCCATCTCTTTTTGGCAGGGAACTCTTTTTGGAAGGGTTCTGTGTGCGGTAGGGGGCCTTGCTGAAGGACACCGTTTGTCCAGCACAGCCTGCATCTAGCCCTTGGGGCAGGGTTAGCACCAACCGGACCGGTGCTATGGGGAGGAAGGCAAAGTGTTTTCAATGGCTTTAAGTTGCACGAGGAGAAGCTCAGGATGGGCACAGACTGCCCAAGGAGGAGGTGCAGGCATTGTCCATGGAGGTGTTGAAGAGTCACGGAGATGCAGCACTAAGTGGTCAGTGGGCA